CTGCATAGACAAAGCACAACCCTGTCTTATAGTGGAGGAGAGCTGATTTTTTTTTTCTGTTCTGCAATTTGTTATCACATATCTTATTAATATTATGAAGGCAGCAGCTTTCAGAATAAAAAAAAAAAAGCAGATAGCAAGGGAAGCATTAGCTTCTTTGCTATCAGCCATGATTTCAGCGGGGTGCTCTCTTCCTTGTTGTTGCACACCCCCCCCTGCAGAGGGGAAGGGGGGTTGACAGAGAGCACCTACCTGCAATTACTTATTTCAGGTTGGGATCCCTGCAATACATTTAGGCATGTAGATGTGGTGAAGACGACTTGCTGAAGTTCAAACCGATCATCACTGCATCAGCATGGGGAAGAAAGGGGATTTAAGTGACTTTGAAAGCCTGTTCACACTGAAAGCGTGTGCGTTCCAGAGCAGTAGCTGCTGGAACGCACCGCGATCTCTGAGAAACTTCCCCCCGCGTTTTGGGGCGGGAGGGGGCGAGGCGGTGCATTGAATTCAATGGCATTGCTTCCACGCTCCCCCTGCCTGTAGTGCGATCAAATGCGTGGCAAGCCCTATTTTTTGCGTTTGCAGTGGAAAGTTTTGCCACGTGTTCGATCACACTGCGGGCGTGGAAGCGGTGCCATTGAATACAATGCACCGCCACGCCCCAAAACGCAAGGGGAAGTTTCTCAGCGATCGTGGTGCGAACAAGCAGCTACAGCTCTGGAACGCACACGCTTTTGATGTGAACAAGGCCTGAACGTGACTCGGTTGTTGGTGCCAGACGGGCTGGTCTTAGTATTTCAGCAACTGCTGATCTGTTGTGATGTTCACACACAACCATCTCTCGGGTTTACAGAGAATGGTCCAAAAAAGAGAAAATATCCAGTGAGCGGCAGCTCTCTGGGCAAGAACACCTTGTAGAGGTCAGAGGAGAATGGGCAGACTGGTTCAAGCTGATAGAAAGGCAACAGGAACTCAAATAACCCCTCGTTACATGCAGAATACCGTCTCTGAACGCACAACACGCCCAACCTTGAATCAGAAGGGCTACAGCCACAGAAGACATCACAAGTGCCACTTCTCTCAGCTAAGAACAGGAAATTGAGGCTACAATTCGAAAAGGCTCGCCAAAATTTTAACATAGAAGATTGGAAAAACGTTGCCTGGTCTGATGAGTCTCGGTTTCTGGTGCGACATTCGGAAGGTCGGGTCAGAATTTGATGTAAACAACATGAAAGCATGCATCCATCCTGCCTTGTATCAACAGTTCAGGCTGGTGGAGCTTCGCATCAGGGATGTGCAGCAATGTGTGATGCTATCACGTCAGTATGGACCAAACTCTCTAAGGCAGGGGTGCCCACAATTTTTCATCTGGAGATCTACTTTTCAAATGACGAGATCTACCAGCGAAAGAAAACACCTTTATTTAGAAAACAAGCACATTAAAATAGTTACTGGGACTTCTGCCTCTCCTCTCCTCTGGGCCGGTTCACACCGCAAAGTTTGCATTCCAGAGCGTTTGGCCTATGGAACACAAGCCAGCCGGATCTCTGCATTCAGGGGCGGGAGGGGGCGTGACGATGCATTGAATTCAATGGCACCGCGGCCACGCCCCCCGCCCGCAGTGCGATCACCCGGAACGCAGGCACATTAGTGCCTGCGCTCCAGTCCAGTGTGATCTCGCACTGGACCGGAACGCGGGCACTCATGTGCCTGCATTCCGGGTGCGGATGATCGCACTGTGGGGGTCAGAGCTGCGAGTGCCATTGACTTCAATGCACCGCCATGCCCCCTCCCGCCCCTGAATGCAGGGAGCCGGCCAGCTTGTGTTCCAGAGCCCGAACACTCTGTAACGCAGACTTTGTGGTGTAAACCGGCCCTCTCCCTTGGCTGTCTCTTCTCTCCCGTCTCTCTGTCTGCGGTTTCTTCTCTGCCGAATGTGCAGACTGGGAGAGGTGTCCCGCCCCTTCCCGTCTGCAGCATCTGACTAATTCAGCCACAGGACACAGGTCAGTGAGCCGATCGCGATCTACCAGTGTTCGCTTTGCGATCGACCTAATGGGCACCCCTGCTCTAAGGAATGTTTCCATCACCTTGTTGAATCAATGCCATGAAGAATTAAAGCAGTTCTGAGGAAAAAAGGGGTTCAACCCAGTACTAGCAAGGTGTACCTAATAAAGTGGCCAGTGAGTGTAAGTCTACCCTTAATTCTCAGAAAGCAGGTTGGTTTCCGAATGACCATAATCTACGACATCCTGTAGTATCCATCCACCACTGTGCTGAGGCCTTCTTTAGGATCACTGTAGGAGGAAGCCACCCAAACATCTATCTTCTTTTTTTACAATGCATTTATTTTTCTTAATTACAGATAATCATTTCGGCTACTTTCCCAAAACATCGATTATCGGGTAACAAGCCGTAAACTGCTCGCTGATTGCAGCCTAAATATTTATAGGAAGACGCACACGAGGGAGGATGAAATGTTGACACGTCTGTCCATCAGTCCCAGAACACAAACCAGAGACACGTTGTCTGTGAGAGACGGAAGGTAGCAATGAGGCGGCACGGGACTGATCCTTCCTAGAGTGATTCTGTCATCGATGAATTGTTACCTGGGGTGTGAAGAGACCGGGACCGTTCAGGTGCCACAAAGAGACAACGTCTATGAACCTGGTCATAGAGAATAGATGTCGTCAATGTACCTGTGTCACGCATAGATGTGGCACCGAACACCAAAAACTCTCATCAGACAAGATGATATATTCATGGATGGGATCTGTTTATAAAAACATCGGCATAGTGTATTTGTCTTGGAGTTCTTCTTTAACCCCTTTTTTTCCCTGTTTTTTTGCCCCCCATGTTATAATCCGCATTTTAGGCCTGAAAATTACTTCAAACCCCCCAAACATTATATATTTTCTGAAAACCAAGACCCTGTACAATAAAATGGTGGCGGGGAGGAGATCGGTGAACGGGCACCCGCCACTCTCTTCCCCAGCTTCCCGCCGACACCCAAGATGCCGGTCCTTGGCCCGCAGGAGCGGCAGGGGAGCCCGGGAAACACGGTGTGTGGGCACCATAAGACTATGTCAAAGGACACTAAACAGGAGGGGAGCACAGTGGGAAATACCAAATGTATACAGAAAAACAAGCTGTAGTAGCATTATTCTACCGCTAGATGTCAGGCATATACCACAACATAAAAGTATTACATGCAATACATAACAGTGCAATAGCAGAAAATAACTGGCTGTGACGGCACACTTTGGGCGTAGACCATTTCCGGCTTCCTGACAGTTCCGGCTTCTTTTAGTGCCGGGTGCTGAAATGGAGACAAAGTTCCAGCACCCGGCATACTGCTACCACTCTGTAGGCCGCTGGCGGTCACGCCAGGGCACCCTCCAAGTGGTGTTTCCCAATGTGGACCATCCCCCCTGGCCTTCCCATGTACACCGCTGCATATAGTGCACGCATTTTGAACAAACATCAAATTTTCACGTCCATCCGTACAGTAATCACACCCTGCAGTGAAAGGGTTTCATTGATGTTTAGAGATGCTGTAAATTGTCTTGTTAGCACTATTTATTATCTCGCGTGTTATACTGGCACATACTCCGGTTCATACTGTCTGAGAAGTGAATGGCAGGGCAGGTCATTGCCAGGTTTGAAGTGTGCGCTCATTAGCAAAGCTCACATGTTCATCATTTGCGGGTTGCGCATATGGTTCTGTCCCGGGTAAGGTGTGATGTCCCCATAGGGAGGCAATGATGTCATGCAGGTGATGGATTTAGCTGTCTCTGCCTTTTTGGCCAGACTTTCCGTCTGCTTTCCTTTATATCTTATAAATGATCACAGTCCCACCAAGATCGTCCTGCGTATAGCTCGGAGAGGTCTGGATAAAGTTATTTTTATAACGTTTCCCAGGAATAAAGAAGTCTGCCGAGCTCAGTCTTCATGGAAACTGACCATACGACAGAGCGCCAATGCCATTCATAGATTTCGGCTTAAAGGGGCACTATCACGTTAGGCATGCAAGGCACACTGATAGTGTCTGCGTAAAAGAACCACCACCCACCCAGTTATATTCACATGCCAGCGTTCCCACCTGCATTACCACACTGCCCATGCCCAACCTAGGCTTTCTCCTTCATCTGAGCCTACCTAGGAACCTCCCCTTCTTCCTTAGCTGGTGGATCAGAGACTGCATCTGCAAGCCTGATTTTAGGTTCCATCTGACATGCTGACTCTCATTATAATGACAAACTTTGATTTCATGACTTTTAAGGCTCAACTCCAGGCATACAGCTGAATACACAGATGAAATACATGTATATGGAAGTCAAAGGATTTATGTCCAGATCTATCTACAATCCTGCCAAATAGTACAGCCAGCTCGGTGACCTGACTTCTACTGCAGTTAAGCAACACAGCTTGGTCACCTCCTTACCCCCATTCTTTGATTAGACAGTCAAGGACCAGCAACAAACTGGGAGCTCATCATTCCTCTACTCTCTCCTCCTGTCAGCATGTCCCTTGTAAGCACATGTGCTCTGCTGCACAACCGATTGGCTCCTAGTTTTTCTCCTACCCAGCCTAGAGCAGTGGCGTCACAAGGGGGGTGTGGCCCGCACCCGGGTGACACCATTGAAGGGGTGACACCAAAATGACTTACAGACTTACAGTCATTTTGGTGTCACCCTCATCTGAAAAGTCGGGCGCTCGGTCATGGACCGAACGCCCGACAGT